AACAATAAATATATTTAATAATAATATATTATTTAATACAATATGCCACTTCTATATGTGCCAAGAAACTATTGTATTATGATTATGAATTGCTTTTATTTTTTTATTTTAAAAAATAGAGATGGGGTCTCCTTATGTTGTCCATGCTGGCCTCTTACTCTTAGATTCAAATGATCCTCCTACTTCACTCTCCCAGTCACTGGGATTACAGACGTGCACCACACTGCACCTGGCTTGTGAATTTCTTTTAAAAAGAGCATTTATTTGACAGATAAATTAACCCACATTATTTTTTAGGTTACATAAACACCACTTCCAAATGAGAAGAACAACTTTTATAAGGAAAGATAAAAGATATTTTAAGAAAGGTAAGGCAAAATAATTGGGTACTACAAAGCTATTAACTTCGAGAGAAATTAATTTTAGCTGGACTAAAGTCACAAAGCTGAATGTGCTTCAGTAGTCTTTCCATGATTAGTGGGGCTGCGGAGGGCAGGGAAGAGTAGGAGTACATGCCTGTCTGAGAAAACTTGAGCAGAAAGAAGCCTGGAGACTTGAAAGCAGGCCATGTGTTTGGGGTGCTTGTGTGTAGTGTGCACACATTCTTCTGAGATGTCCTTGAAGGAGCTTCAGGATAGCTTAATAGGTAATCCCAGAGAGCTCTGCTTTTCTTGCAGAAGTGGTGGTGCTCTCATGAGTATAAGGTATTTTGCAGGAATGGTAACATATTAGAGGGTGCAGTCTCATAGATCCAGCATGAGGGCTGAAAGGATGCGCTTCAAATGAAGACCTGTGTGGAAATTTGCTTCCACCGCTGTATGTAACATTAGGAAAGGTATTTAATTTTTCTGAGTCTTAGTTTTCTCATCTGTGCAATGAATGTTAGAATCAGTCTCTTAAATTTTCAGAGAAGTGTTTTTTCCCTTTAACAATGCCATTTATTTTACTCCAAAATATAGAATTGGGCAGAGCTTGGGCCATCTCTATTTCATGCAGTGTCACCAATGTCACCTGGGAAGAATGGCTGGGATGCATGCATTTGGAGGGCCCTGATGCTGGCTGTTGGCTGGTAGCTTGTCTGGGGCTTTGGTTCCTCTCCATGCGGGCCTCCACAGACCTGCTTGGGCTTCTGTATGTCATGGTGGCTAGCTTCTAAGAGCAAGTGTCCCAAGCAAAGGGAAGTTTGTCTGATTCCTCTCATTCTAGGTCATCCTTTCTCTGTTGTCTTCTAATCCTGAAGACACAATCTATACAATTATTTGAGCTCCTAGTCATTTTTTAGCTTTCAGGAACGCATACCTCCCCGTTCTGAGGCCTAAACTGGCATCATCATGTTCTTAGCTTTCTGCTCTGGTTGGTGTCTTTCCTGATTCCCTCAGCCCAATTCTTGCTATTTATCTTTGCCTTGTCCCCAGTGTCAGCTCTCACAAGTCAGATGTTAGTTTGATTCCCTCACTCATGATTCACCCGTGGAACTGATCTGGTTTAATCTATGGCTTGATTCAATGTGCTCTTCCTTCCAGCTAGCACCATTTCTGCTAGATCTCTGCTTCCGTCTTGCATCTCTTGTATAGGTATAGGATTTCATAACAACAAAAAACAGTGGGACACTTACAGTAACAGTAGCAGAAGAGGCAATGGTTTGGAATCCCAGTTCTGGGGTTTACTCATCAATGTGTTGGACAAGCCATTTACCCTCTCTGAATCTCAGTTTTCTTGTTTTAATATGGAGATGACACCAATAACACGTTTGCTGTGCAATTGTGAAGAATAAATGAGATAATTTATCCAAGGAGCATAGTGACAGGTCAGTGCGTGTCAGTGTCCTCCTCCTTGTTCTTTCCTTCTGGCACTTGGAAGACCCAAGTACAGCCTGCTGGGTCTTAGTGCTCAGCTTAATGCGGAATATTGGACTCTTCAATACTCCACATTAAGCTGCTGGGTTGGGACAAAGGTGGAAGGGTTGGAAAGGCTTGGTCAGGACAAAGAGCAGGGATGCAGAAGTGCCACCCTAGCAGAGCAGGTGGGGTGTGGCTTTGGGTCCGATGATCATGTAGGACTTCCAGCCAGGGAAGATGCTGAAGACCCAGGAGTGGATGAGGCTATGACGGCACTGAGGCTGGGCTCCTGAAAAGCAGGACATGGGGCAGAGCCCCTGATTGTGGCTGATGAGGAGCCGGGTTTTTCTTTCATAGCCAGGAGACCTGGAGGATCAGGCCTCATGATTCTCCATGTTGCTTACTAGGATAGGAGTGCATGGCTGGTTCTTCCTTTAGATTATCAGGGACAGAAAATTTGTTAGAACAGATTGTAAGAGTGATTCTGGGTGTGTGGGAAATTTTAAGTTTTCCAGTCTGATGAACTTGAAGGAAGGGGCTGAGGGAGGAAATGGTTTGTAAGACAAAGAGAAACGAAGACAGGGATGGTCCTCAGGGTCAGTTACATCCTTATTTTAAAGACTTAAAATAATTTTTAATACATCTCATGATAAGACGCAGAAAATAAAGGTAAGCAAAAATATAAAATAAATAATACCTGTATTTAAATGTTGTCTTATACCTTCCTATCCTTCCATCTGCATACACACTGCATACACACTATGCAAACATCACACACACACAATGCAACACACACATACACCACACATGTACCGTGCAGCACACACAACACAACACACACACACCACATACGCCACACACCACAACAGCATGCACACACCACACACACACTGCATACACACACCACATATTCCCCACCACAAACATATACCACAACACACCACACACTACACATATACATGCACACTACACACATATACACACCATGCACACACATGCACACACACATTAAATCAAAATGAGAGTATATCAAGCCTAGAATTTTATAAACGGTGTGTTTTCAATTTATACTGAAACTGCACCAAAACTACTGAAAAGTAACAGCTTTATTTATTTGTTTATTTATTTTGAGACTAATCAACTTTCTGTCTCTAAGGATTTGCCTGTTCTGGACAGTTCACATAAATGGAATCATATAAAATATGTGGGGGGCTTGTATTTGGCTTGTTTCACTTAGCATGTTTTCAAGTTTCATCCGTCAGTACTTTTCTTTTATGGCTGACCACTATTCCATTGCGAGGATATACTTTATTTTATCTATTCATCAGTTGATGAATAGATTTGGTTTGATTTTCCTTTTTGGCTACTATAAGTGATTCTATTGCAAACATTGTGGATATGTTTCTGTGTGAACTTATGTTTTCAATTTTCTTGGCTATGTAACAAGGAGGGGTATTGCCGGGTCCTATGGTGACTCCATGTTTAAGTTTTGAGGAATTTTCATGCAGTTGCTTAAAGAAGCAGCACCATTTTACATTCCCACCAGCAATGCGTGAGGATTCCAGCTCCTCCGTATCATGGTCAACACTTCTTATTTGACTTTTTGATTACAGCTATCCTAGTGGGTATGAAGTAGTATCTCATTTTTGTTTTGATTTGCATTTTACTAATTACTCTATGTTCTTTGGAGAAATGTCTATTCTAATCCCTTTCCCATTAAGTTATTTGTGTGTTTCTTTTTTTTTTTTTTTGAGACAAAGTCTCTGTCACCCAGGCTGGAGCGCAGTGGTGGGATCGTAGCTGACTACAGCCTTGAACTACTGGGTTCAAGTGATCCTCCTGCCTTAGCCTCCCAAAAAGTTGGGGCTGAAGGTGCATGCCACCCCCTAATTTTTTAAAAATTACATTTTGGCTGAGTATGGTGGCTCAGGCCTATAATCTTAGCACTTTGGAAGGTCAAAGTGGGAGGATTGCATGAGCCCAGGAGTTGGAGACCAGCCCTGGCAACATAGTGAGTCCCTGTCTCCACAAAAAGTAAAAAAAAATTAGCCAAGCACAGTGGTGTGTGCCTGTAGTCACAGCTAATCAGAAGGCTGAGATGGGAGGATCACTTGAGCCTGGGAGGTCGAGGCTTCAGTGAGCCATGGTCAACCCACTCACTCCAGCCTGGGTGACAGAGCAAGACTCCGTCTCAAAATAAAAATAAAGATAAAAATAAATAAATTTAAAAAATAAAATAATTTTTGTAGAGACAAAGTCTCACTATGTTGCCCAGTCTGGTCTCAAACTCCTGGCTACAAGCAGTCCTCCCATCTCGGCCTCACAAAGCACTGGATGTGAACCACTGCACCTGGGTAAGAGTTCTTTATGTATTCTGGATACTAGACCTTTACAGGATATATGATTTGGAAATATTTTCTTACATTCTACGAGTTCTCTTTTTTACTTTTTTGATAATGTTCTTTGAAATAAAAATGTTTTTAATTTTGTAGACAACCAATTTGTCTTCCCCCCCCCCTTTTGTTGTTTGTACTTTGGGGATCATATCGAAGACACGTTACCCAATCTAATGTCGCAAAGATTAATGCCTATTTTTTTCTTCCTCGAGTTCTATAGGGTTAGGTCCTACATCCAGCTCTTTAATACATTTTGAGTTAATTTTTGTATATGGTATGAGGACACTAACTTCATTCTCTTACATGTGGATATCCAGTTGTCCCAGCACCATTTGTTGCTCTTGCTGCCATTGAATTGTCTTGGTACACCTGGTGAAAGTCAATTGACCATGGATATGAGTTTGTTTCTGGATTCTCAATACTATTTCATCATTTCACTGATCTATATATCTACCCTTATTCTATTATCACACAGTCTTAATTACTGTAACTTTGTAGTAAGTTTTGAAATCAGGAGTGAGTCCTCCAACTTGTTCTTCTTTTTCAAGATTATTTTGACATTCTGAGTTCTTTGCATTTCCATATGAATTTTAGAATCAGCATATCAATTTCTGCAATAAACTCTTTTTGGTGCAGCTGGAGTTTAGGTAGGGATTATGTTGAATCTGAAGACGTATTTGGTAAGTTTTGCCATCTTCACAATATTAAGTATTTCGATCCGTGAACACAGGGTGTCTTCCTACATTTAAGTCTTTAATTTTTATCAATGGTGCTTGGTAGCTTTCAGTGTATAAGTCTTGAATTTCTTTGGTTAAATGCATTCGTAAGTATTTTATTCTTTTGATGTTATTGTAAATGGAATGGTTTTCTTGATGTGATTTTTGTGTCTTCATTTCTTGACTTTTTCAGCTTCTAGGGCCACCCGCATTCCTTGGTTTATGGCCCCTTCCTCCATCCTCAAAACCAGCACTAGCAGATACTTGATCTCACATCCCCTGCTCCTTCTTCCATCCTTGGATTCCTCTCTCTCAGCCAGAAACCTTCGCTTCTGTTAGGACTCAAGAGGATTAAACTCACCTGGACAGTCCAGGAAACTCTCCATATCTTAAAGTCTTCACCCTTCAACACCTTAATTTGCCATGTAAGGTAACATATTTACAGCTTCTGGGGATAGGTGTGGACATCTTTAGGGGGCTGTTATTCAGCTGACTATGGAGAGTAAGGGGGTAGGAGAGGTGCAGGGGAAGTACTCCGAGTCCCTGGATGTTCCGAATCCAGTCCAGCCTAGTACAGGGTGAGAAATCAGTCCAAGACACTAAATTCATTCATTCCCTTTACTGATTGTAAGATGATAGTACAATTAAGCATGGGTGGGAGAACTAAAAGGACTCATGGCTGGGAGAATTAAAAGGACTAAGTCTTAGAAGGCATCTGGCTGGCATGGGTCAGCCAATACACTCTGTGAAGGCTTCCGGTACCTGCAGGATTAACACTAGGGAGAGCTCTGAAAATTACAAACACCAGGCAAACCCAAGTTATTATAGTGAACTTGGACTGGCTTAATTTGTAGGCAAGGATCCTGATTTAGGATTTTCAAAAGAATATTTGTTTTAAAAGCAATTTCATTGCACTTTTCAAATGCAGTAAGTTAAAAAAGATGCAGTGAATAATGTTACTTTAGAAAACTCACTAAAGCTATGTTAAAGTAACGGATTTCAGTTTTTAGAGCCAGTCTGTTACCTCTGCAGGTGGCATTGTTTCAGGAGGTAGAAGCCACATGGAGGCTTGGAGCTGTGCCACATTCTTAATTGGACACCTTGTTGAATGGTAATTGAAAAATGTCTTCACGCCCTGTTGGGTGCCTCCCGGAGGCTCCTCTGTAGTGGGTAGGGATAGCTTTGATGGTGGAGGCACTTGCCAGCAGAATCTCGGCCATGCATTGTCCACGTGGCCAGGTGGTTGCCTCTTCTCTGTGGAGCCAGCTGCTCTTGTCTGTAACCACTCAGCACAAGAGAAGAATGGAAGAGAAAGGAGGTGTTCAGCACCCGGTGCATGGCTGCTGTGATCTCCCTTCCTCCTTCCCCGATTCTTCTCCAGATGGCCTGTTACGGCAATGTGTAGCCACTGACTAGGTGTAGAAATTACATATTTTTTCCCTTGAGATTTAAAAAGGAACACACACGTGCACAGGGACACACTTGCAGACACACATGTATGCACATACACCTGCACACATACATACACATGTACACACATATGCATGTGGACATGCACACACACATGTGTACACACACCTGATCACTCATCCATATGCTCACGCATGCACACTCACGTACACATATGCACGCTTACATGCTCACATTACAGCATTACCAGGTCTCAGCCCCAGAGATTCTTATCTAATTGGTTGGAGTGGGTCCTGGGTATTATTATTTTTAAAAACTGGGCTGGGTGTGGTGGCTTATGCCTGTAATGACACTTTGGGAGGCCAAGGCAGTTGGATCACAAGGTCAGGAGTTTGAGACCAGCCTGGCCAACATAGTGAAACCCTGTCTATATTAAAAATACAAAAATTAGCCAGGCGTGGTGGTGTGCACCTATAGTCCCAGCTACTCGGGAGGCTGAGGCAGGAGAATTGCTTGAATCCGGGAGGTGGAGGTTGCAGTGATCCAAGATCACACCACTGTACTCCAGCCTGGGCAACAGACCAAGACTTCATCTCTGAAAAAACAAAACAAAACAAAACTGAACGCGCGCGCACACACACACACACACACACACACACACTCCTCAAAACCGTGGACATAAAGTTGTGGTAGTTACTCCGTTATACACAGAACGACAACATTTCACATTGCTCACAGATGCTTTTCAGAATTGATTGACAGGGAAGGCTTCCACCAGTTCTGGAAACCAGAACGTCTGTTTGTTTTCAGTGGTGGTGGCCTCCCAGGAGCCCACCTGACTATGTGCACCACGATTTTTGGTGAATGGAGTTGGTATTGACAGAACTTACTACAGCTTGGACCGCAGCTGGCGGTGCCTGCATGGTCCCTCTCTGTCGCCGTGGCTGCCCTCTGGTGGGCTCACTGGGAAGAACTGCGGGTGGGAGGCAGGTGAGGGATCAGGCTGCCTCAGGCAGGCAGGGACTCTCTGTTGGTGGCCACTACTCCCACCAGGGTGGCTTCTCTGCAAGACCCTCCTCTCTCACTGTAGGGCTCAGGGTGTGACCAGCCCTGGGGGGGGGGTTTGCACCAGCCCTTACGGTTGACAGGTCATATTTTTGCATGATCTCCTTATTAAACTCTCTTCTACTTACTCTAGTGGAGGAGGACTTGTCCACTTTCTGCTGGGACGCTGACTCGAATGAGGGATTGGAGTGAAGTGTGTGGTTGGCTTCGTCTCTGAGGTACACTGTGGGCTGTGTGTCCCAGGGGACTCTGCAGGCAGGCTGAGAGGGACAGGCGCAGCACTGCGCTGGGCTGTGGTAGGGAGTTGGCAGTCAGCGTGATGATCTTGGATGGAAAATTAAAGTAGGTGGGGGCGCGTTCTGAAATACAGGATGGCACTAAAAACACGGTGCAGCCGGAGGAAAAAGCCCAGAACCACTTACATGCACTTAACACCACACACTCACATGCCACACTCAACACGCCACACTCACCACGCCACACTCACCACATATACACACGCTCACACGCGCCACACTCACACACGCCACACTCACACATGCCACACTCATCACATACACATACCACACACGCCACAGTCACACCACACTCACCACATGTACACACATGCCACACTCACATATGCCACACACACCACATACAGCACACACACACACCACATACATACATCACACACAGCACACACACACCACACTCACACATGCCACACACACCACATACATACACCACACACAGCACACACACATGCCACACTCACACATGCCACATACACCACACACAGCACACACTCAGACACGCCACACTCACACAGCACACACACATGACACACCCAGTACACACTCACACACTACACTCACACATGCCACACATACTACATACATATTACCACACACAGCACACACACACCTCACTCATATACCACACATATCACTCACATACCACACACACACCACATACTCACACACGCCACACACACCACATACACACATCACACATACACACACAGCATACACATGCCACACACATCACATACACACACCACACACAGCACACACTCACACATGCCATACTCACACCACAAACACCACATACACTCATCACATACAGCATGCACACACCACATTCACACATGCCACACATACCACACACACTGCAAACACACACCATATACACCATGCATATCACACACTCACACCAGACACACACTGCACACACCACACTCACACGCCACACACACAGCACACACAGCACACACACACCACACACACATGCCACATGCACCACATAAACACAGTGCACACAGCACACACACACCACACTTATACATGCCACTCATATCACACACTCACATGCACCATACTCACACACCAAACACACCACATACACACCACACACAGCACACATACACCACACTCATACACGCCATGCCTATCACACACACACACACCACATACACAGTACATACATCATATGCACTACATGTACCACATACATGACACACACCACACATATCACACACACATACACCACATAAACACACCACACACCCCACGCATACTACACACACACAGAGCACATAAACACAAAGCATACATGCCACACACACCACACTCACACATGCCACACACCAATAAACACATATAACACAGTCACACACGCTCCACACACCACTCAGGCACACCACATACCACATAAACACACAGCACACACTATACACACCACACACACACTCATACCACATACCACATATACATACCACACTCATGAACAACATACATGCCACACCCTACACACACCATGTAAACACACACACACCACACAGTCACACACACCTTACACATGCCACGCACCACACACACTCATACATCACACATCACATAAACACATATACACATTTCATACACACTACACTCACCCCACACTTACATGTGCCATCACACACTACACAAATAAACATACCACACACTCATAAACACACCCTGCACCACCACATACACCCTTACACACGCCACATATGCTCACACACACTACACACACATACTGTACTCACACACCACACACACAAACACACCCCTCACAGACACCACGCATTCACAATACACCACACAAATGACATAAACACACACATTCTCACACACACCACACACACACACACACACACACACACACACAAAACCACACTACAACGGGGTAAGCACATCTAAGCCTAAGACACAGCAATTCAGGAGGTGCCGGGTGGAAACGGGAGGAGGAGATGGATGGAGAGGTCTGAAGTGGGCAGCGACATAAAACTGGAGACTCCTTGCACACATAGATGCTAATTATATTCCACAGCTGAGGAATGCAATTGACTCGCTCTAGTGGAGGCTCAAAGCATGTGTTTTATAAAGGTGTGCTAAGCCACTGTTTTGGGGTAGTTCATCAATTACAAAATACCTATTTGGTTTTCTTAAGAAATACTGCTTCTGATATTTTTATTGCCTTTGTGTTTTGCAGAAGGCTTGGCTTTGGCCAAAGAACCTGGAATTAATTCCTCCACTCTGTGTTATGGTAAAACATGTGTTACCATGGTTTCTTACAACAAAATTTCAATTAGCAGATGGAGCTACTGAGAGGAAAGTCTTATTGGGGTAGAAATTTGGAGGAGAATTAAGGCAAAAATAAACACATTTCAAAGCCCTACCATTTAGAATGATAATGAATTATTGCCAACAGTATGGTGGTGTATCAATCATTGTGTTAAACATTCTTAATTGATATATATCTCACAAAAAATTAGTAAATTCAATACCAGGGTTTAGTTTGCAATATGCTTAATTTTAGTCTATATTTTTAAACTTGGAGAATGTTGGATAGAGGTAGATGAAATACAGGAAGTTATTTAGAATTCACTGTGGATGATCATAGACTATTAAAACATTTTGAAATGTTGAAATGAATCAACAGAGATGTTCTAAATCATCACCAGAATTTAAATTATGCTATCTTTGTAGAGTATTTTAAACATTGGAAAATTATAAGATGGAACTTAAAGTCAGTAGTTTGTTATTACCAACAATTTGTTCTCCCCAAGGGAATATAATATTAGATGAGCACATGGCAGTTTAGAACAGAGACTGCATTTCCCAGCTTCCCTTGCAGCTACACATGGTTGTGTGACTCACATCACAAAGGGGTTCAGAATATTTCAAATTCTTAGAACTGTCCTTAAGATCCAGCAACCTTCATCCTTTGCTGTCTTTTTCATTCATTGCTTCCTTTTGCTTTCCAGCATGTGGTGCTTCTAAAACCTCTAGACTTGATTTATGTGCGAGAGAAATCAACTTCCATCTACAGGAAGTAGAAACTACTGGAGTTTGCCTGTCACTTGCAGAAGAGCCTAATTCTAAGTGTTTCAAATTCTTCCATGAATCCTGTAGGTTTGAGACTTTAAAGGAGCAGCTGGTATACTTGACAAGTTCTCCTGGAAGAAGACATTGAATATTGTGGTTTATAGGGAAACTCAGATGCCTGGTTAGCACATGCTCTGTTCACCCACCATTTCCTGGTACCCACTAGGAATAGGAGGGCATGTGACTATGGACATGAGTCAAAGACTTGTGTAAGTAGAAACTAGCTCATATTTCAGGCAGTTATGTTTGGGGTCAGGATTGGTGAACAAGATGAATCTGTGTCATAATAGATCCATTTGTAAAAGGAATCTCTTGCATTTGATGGAGTCTGTTGACACCGCCTTATTCTGTTACTCAGCAGAAACTTGGTTTTGCTGCAATGCTGCCTCCAGGCTTCAGGCATCCTGAATAACATGTGCGACCCTCCTCCCTGATTGCTCCTTTCCAGTACTCTCTAGCTGATGCGGGTGTGGCCATAAATCTAGTGTGGAAAGCCAGACATCCAGGCATCACCCTCAACCCTGCCTCGACCACAAGTCCTCCCCATTTCACATCAAGACTACCCCGGAGCCACCCTCTTCTCTCCATTTCCAGGTTTCAGCTGAGGTCTAAGGCATCAAGGATGGCTGGTTTAGGCACTCGCCTCCTGCCAGGCTTCTGACACCCTCTCTTGTCCGTCTCTCCTCTATCTCCACAGAGTACACAGTGACCACATCACTCCTTGCTCAAAAAAGCAGGGGCTTCCACTTACCACCAAGGTCCAGATCCTCCAGTGTGCAAGAGGGCTTTTCCTGCCTTGTCCTGCTGGCCTCTCTGGAAACTCCTGCCTCTACTCTCCCTTCCTCTCTGCTGTTCATCCACACTGGCTTTTTTCATCTCTTCCTGTTCCCTATACCCCTCCTGCCGCAGGACCTTAGCACATGCCATTCCTACTTTTAGGAACCCTCCTCCCACCTTCACAGCTTTCAGATCTCAACTCCCACATCACTTCCTCAGGGAGCCTTCCTCATTCTTCCAGAGGGATACAGATTTTCAGGGAGGAGCTGTGTTAGTCTTTCTTCTCATTTTATTCCTGGCTCCTAGCTCTGAGCCAGGCACTTAATTCATGCTCACTAAGATGTTGAAGACATGGAATAACATCAGTTATTAAAATCATCGTTGGCCCCTTCATATTTGCAGTTTCAGGAATCTGGAGAAATGATGTGGCTTAACTATGCAACAGCAGGCTTTAGCTGTACCAAGTTGTTACATTTTGTAGAAACGCAATTTGGTTATCCATTGCCATATATCTATGGGTATATCCACATTCTTGTAATTCAGATTTCCACTTCATATAAGAATTCTACTACACATAAATAGTGAGAAGAGTCATTGGAAATGTGGATTATTATTGAATGCAACTTTAAAAATATTTCCCCCACCCTCATTTTGGTACCACAGAGGTCCCTATAATTGCAAATTCAGTGGTGCTATTGGAAACACAACATATTTGCTGCTCTAGTGAAGGACACCCCCACTGGACCAACCACTTCTGAAGACCAGGGCTCTGCTTCCCTTCTTTGATTTCTGGTGTTAGCATGATGCTGGCTTCACATTTGATAGGTAACAGGGATTCCTTAGACAATGGAATGATTGAAAGAATTGAGCTACAAGCTCAGTCAATCAATCTACTTATCCTATCTGTCAATCAATCATCTATCCATCATCTTTATTGTCTTTCAATAGCTATCTGTTATCTATACCTATCATCTCTATCAGTCATCTCTTTCTATCATCTATCCATCGTCTATCTTCTATCATCTATCTA